GAGCAGGACGAAGAGGAGGAGGAGGAGGAGGAGGAGGAGGAGGAGGAGGAGGAGGAGGAGGAGGAGGAGGAGGAGGAGGAGAGAAACACAACCATCACCACCTCCTCCACCTCCTCCTCTTCCTCCTCCCTGGAAACCTCCAGAGACCTTCGGGACCCCCAGGGTATCTCCAGAGATCCTGGAGGAAAGTCCGAAACCGCCTCCTCCGACGATATCAACGACGACGGCGACGATCTCGAGGACGACGCCCTCGATGCCGGCGATCTCGGCGACGGCAGCGGCGACTTCGGCGACGATCTCGACCGACGACGACGCCCCCCCGAGGGGTTCCTCGGCCTGACGGCGTACGTCGGTGCGGCGGCCTCGGGGCTGCCGCTCGGATGGCTCATCCAGGCCGCCCCTCCGGGTGGGCGCTCCGCTTCCTGGGGAGGGGGGAGAGGTGCCAGCGGAGTCCTCCGGGTGGACGCTCCGCTTCCTGGGCAGGGGGGGCTGGTGCCACCGGAGTTCTCTGGGTGGGCGCTCCGCTTCTCTTTTGGGAGGGGGGAGGGGTGCCATCGGAGTCCTCCGTGTGGATGCTTCGCTTCCTGGGGGGGGAGGGAGGGGTGCCCACGGAGCGGAGGCCGATGGTGGCAGGCGGGCAGCTCTGCGTGGATCCTCCGATGCGTGCGGGAGGAGGAGGCGGAGGAGGAGGAGGAAGAGGAGGAGGAGGAGGAGGAGGAGGAGGAGGAGGAGGAGGAGGAGGAGGAGGAGGAGGAGGAGGAGGACCGCGGAGGCGCTCGCCGCCTCGGCGAGGCGCTCCAGCCGCGGCGCCTCGCCGAGGGGAGCGCTCCCCAGGGCTCGGCCCGCAGCGTCCCGCACGGCAGCGTTGCGCAGAAAGCCGTGCAGACAGCCGGCGAACCCAGGGCGCCCTCGAGGGCGCGAAGCTGTTCGCGCTCCGCGCTTCGCGCGTCGGCTCCGATTCCTCCTCGTCCTCCTCTTCTCCCCCGGGAGGCGACGCGAGGGTGCGAAGTCATTCGCACTATTTCGCGCTTCGGGCAGCGCGAAGCGCGAAGTTGGGAGCCCTTGGCGAGCGCTGACTTCTACCACCAGAGCTATTAGAGAACAGCACTTCCCGGGCTATGGAAGCGGAGGAGGCGGAGGCGGAGGCGGAGGCGGAGGAGGAGGAGGAGCAGGAGGAGGAGGAGGAGGAGGAGGCGTAAGAGGAGAATAACGCAGGCGACGAGGACGAGGGCGAGGACGACGACGACGACGCAACGACATGGCCAGGGACAAGAGAGAGGACCAGGAGGAAGCGACGAACGACAAGCGACGACCGACGAACGACGAACGACGAACGACGAACGACAACGACGACTACGAGGACGACGGACGACGAACGATGAACGACGAACGACGAACGACGACGACGACGAACGACGAGCGATGAACGACGAACGGCGAACGACGAAGACGACGACGAACGATGAACGACGTGGACACGTCGACGAACGATGAACGACGAACGACGTACGACGAAGACGACGAAGACGACGACGACGACGAACGAGGACTCGACGACGACAAGGACGACGACGACGGACGACGACGACCAGGACGACGACGACGATGGACGACGCACAACGGACGACGACGACGGCGACGACGGACGACGGACAACGGACGACGGACGACGATTACGACGACGACGGCGACGAGTGATGAACGACGAACGACGAACGAGGACGTCGAACCGCGGCGACCACGAACGACGAACTATGAACGACGAACGACGAACGACGATCGACGAAGACAACAACGACGAACGATGAACGACGAACGACCCAGACGACGACGAACGATGAACGACGAACGACGTACGACGAAGACGACGACGAAGACGACGACGACGAGGACACGACGACGACGAGGACTACGACACCGACGGTGACACGACTAGGACGACGTCGACGACAATGGACGATGGACGACGGACGACGGACAACGGACGACGGACGACGGTCGATGGACGACGGACGACGGACGACGGACAACGGACGACGGACGACGGTCGACGGACGACGGGCGACGGCCGACGGACGACTGACGACGGAGGACGGTGGGCGGACGACGACGCACGACGGACGACGACGACGACGACGACCGCGACGACGACGACGACGACCTCGGCCAGGGTCGCGCTGGCTGGGTCGCGTGGCAGGCCGCGCTGCTGCTGGCTGCGCTGGGGACCGGCGCCGTGCTGCTGCCGCTGCGGCGGGCGCGCTCGCACCAGCAGCGGCTCGCGCCGGGGCTGCGCTGACGCCCGCACCCTGGGCGTCGCCGAGGCCGCCGCGGAGGCCCTCCGTGCGGCCCAGGCGGTGGCGCAGCGACCGCGCCGAGGCCTCCCCGCGCCCGCTCTCAGCCGCCTCCGGGCCAGCTGCGGAGGCGGGCCCCGCAGCTGGCCCTCGCCAGCTCGCGCCGTGGCCGCGAGAGCGGCCGCGTGCTCCGCGGCGTGGCGGGCCGCCAGCGCCTCGGCCTCCTCGGCCCGCGGGGGGCGGCAAATGGGGGGGGGGGGCAGCGAGGGCTGCAGAGAAAGGGCCCTTCGGGGCCCCCAGAGGGGTCATGTTAGGGCCCAAAAGGGGGCCGCAGGGTCCGAAGAGTCGCCTTTTTTTCTCTCTCTCCCCCCCCCCCTCCTTGATCGCCCCCTCCAATAAGCGCCGCCCGAGTGCCTCGCGCTGCCCTCGCGCGGAGCTGCGGTCGTGAGGTGCGGAAAGAGGATGCGGGCGGTTGTCCTTGGCTTCGCCCTCTGGGGCGCGTATGGGGGCGCCCTGGACCATCAGATAACCTCGTGCCCCGGACGATAAAGCATTCCCGCCTCCACAACTGGGAGTTGATTATCACGGGCCAAGACAGGGTAGGTCGGGGGAAAGGGGCGGTGGGTCCGAACTTCACTATCGCAGGGGAAGGGGCGAATCGAGATTGCGAACTTCTCATGTTGCGTAGCATATTAGACTTTCGGCTGCTATTACTATCGTACCTCTACTGCTACCACTACTACTACTACTACTACTACTACTACCACTACTACTACTACTACTTCTACTACTACAACAACAACTACTACTATTACTACGACTTCACTACTGTGACTATCGCTACTACTACTAGTACTACTACTACTACTACTACTACTACTACTACTACTACTACTACTACTACTACTACTACTACTACTACTACTACTACTACACTACTACTACTACTACACTACTACTACTACTACTACTACTACTACTACTACTACTACTACTACTACTACTACTACTATTACTACCACTGCTGCTGCTGCGACTACTGCTGATATCATTGCTACCACTGGTACTGCGACGACTACTATGACCACTACTACTACTACTACTACTACTACCTCTACTACTCCTCATAATAATCATACTTTACTTGCTATTACTACTACTACTACTACTACTACGACTACGGCAACGACCACGACTACGGCTACCACTATTCCTACCACTACAACTACTACTACTATTGCCACTATTACTATTACTACTTCTAACATTACTACTACTACCACTACTACTACTACTACTACTACCACTTGTAGTAGTCTTACTACTTGTAACCGTAGTAGTAGTAGTAGTAGTAGTAGTAGTAGTAGTAGTAGTAGTAGTAGTAGTAGTAGTAGTAGTAGTAGTAGTAGTAGTAGTAGTAGTAGTAGTAGTAGTAGTAGTAGTAGTAGTAGTAGTAGTAGTAGTAGTAGTAGTAGTAGTCGTCGTCGTCGTCGTCGTCGTCGTCGTCGTCGTCGTCGTAGTAGTAGTAGTAGTAGTAGTGGCGGTAGTAGTATGAGTAGTAGTAGTTGTGTTAGTAGTAGTAGTAGTAGTAGTAGTAGTAGTAGTAGTAGTAGTAGTAGTAGTAGTAGTAGTTAGTAGTAGTAGTAGTAGTAGTAGTAGTAGTAGTAGTAGTAGTAGTAGTAGAAGTAGAAGTCGTATTAGTAGTAGTAGTAGTAGTAGTAGTAGTAGTAGTAGTAGTACTACTACTACTGCTACTACTGTATACCAGTTTTTCTATGACTACTACTACTACTACCACTACTACTTCGCCTACTACTAGTACTACTACCAACATTACACGAACTACTACTTCTATTATTATCTCTATTACTGCAACTACTACTACATCGGCTACTGCTACTACTACAATGACGAAGGCGATGGCGACGACGACGACGACTTCTACTACTACTGCTACTGCTACTACTACTGTTACTGCTACTGCTACTGCTACTGCTACTGCTACTGCTACTGCTACTGCTACTGCTACTGCTACTGCTAGTGCTTCTACTACTACTAGAACTGCGATTATTATTATTATTATTACTACTACTATTGTTCCCAACCCTCCTGCGTTGGGTCCTCGTTTTGAATAGAGCAGCTGCGGTCGCGACTCCTCTCCTCTCCTCTCGCTTCTTACCTCGCTTGTTGCTGCGTGCCAGCTTGCTTCTGCGATCTGCGAAACTGTCGCCACTTTCGAGGGCTGCTGTGGGGCCCAGCGGAGTGGGGTCATACGCAGATTCCGATTCAACCTCGTAGTCCCTGGGGGGCTGCGATCTGCGAAACTGTCGTCATTTTCGTAGGCTGCTGGGGGGCCCAGGGGAGTGGGGCCAATGCAGATTCAGATTCGACCTCGCCATCCCTGGAGGGACTGCGATCTGCGAAACTGTCGTCACCTTCGAGGGCTGCTGGGGGGCCCAGCGGCGTTGGGTCATACGCAGATTCAGATTCGACCTCGCCATCCCTGGGGGGCTGCGACCTGCGAAACTGTCACCACTTTCGAGGGCTGCTAGGGGGCCCAGCGGAGTGGGGTCATACGCAGATTCCGATTCGACCTCGCCATCCCTGGGGGGCTGCGATCTGCGAAACTGTCGCCTCTGTCGAGGGCTGCTGGGGGGCCCAGGGGAGTGGGGCCAATGCAGATTCAGTTTCGACCTCGGCATCCCTGGG